GATATAGCTCGCTAGTAGCATCATGCCGATGACCTAGTTGATGTCATCAATTTCCCAAAATGCTTTGCATGTAAATAAAATGGCCCCGTCTGTGTAATATATTTTTAAACTTTTAGTTTAAAAATTATAAAAACTGAACATCCTACAGTATTTTTACATTCTTTATTTTACAGTTAAATATATGTTTATCATATAAAGTCTAATGTTACAACTAATCYGGGATCCCTTTAAGAAGTTCTAGCATTCAGTTAAAAATTCTGTCGTTACATGTTTCCTTCCAGCCTGATTGGACATTCGTACTCGGGGAACAGGCCCTGGACGTTTCGGTGCCCTCCTTCTCCCATTCCTCTTCCTCTATCCTTGTGCTTGGTGAGAGAAACCTCTTCTGTTTCCGTGATAACGGACAAGTCCGCTTCATGAAAAAACTGGAATGCAACTCCAGCTGCTTCTTACCCTTTGCCTCAGGTAAAACAAGTTATTTGTTGTTTTGTGCTATAACTGCTGTTTTTAGAGTCAACTGTATTAACAGACAGAGTTTTAGTGACAATATGAGTACATGAGCTGGCACCCAGTATTCATTGGCAGCTTTTATTTTGTTAGGATGTTTAGAGTTTGTCTCATAGGGGAGTGTGACACAGAGGAGCACAGTCAACACACATTTATTGCAAATTTCCTATTGCTTTCCTTCTGGCCTTCAGCCTCAGCTGCCGCAGTTAGACCAGTGCCTTGTATTTCACAAGCTTCTCCTATTTGTCTGTCACTCTTGTTTTGTCATGTCATTGCTTTGGCTTCAGTTCCTGTAAAGAACGAGACATATATCTAATGAAACACTGTGATTGTTATAGAGCCCGTAAGAGGACATTAGGAATAAAATAAATAAAATGATCCTGACTTACTTTGAAGATCCCACAAAGGTTTCTCAGGATCCTGACTTACTTTTGCGAGATCCTGCAAAAGTCTCTCATGATCCTGAGAAACCTTTATAGAATCCTGAGAAACTTTTACAGGATCCTGGGAAACCTGTGCTGGATTCTCCTGAGAAACTTTTGCAGGATTCACCTGAGAAACCTTTGCAGGATTCTCTTGAGAAACCTTTGCAGGATCCTGAGAATCCTTTGCAGGATCCTGGGAAACCTTTGCAGGATGCTGGGAAACCTTTGCAGGATGTTGGGAATCATTTGCTGGATCCTGAGAAACCTTTGCAGGATCCTGGGAAACTTTTGCAGGATCTTGGAAAACTTTTGCAGGATCCTGGGAAAACTTTGCAGGATCCTGAGAAACCTTTGCAGGATTCTCTTGAGAAACCTTTGCAGGATCCTGAGAAAAGTTTGCAGGATCCTGGGAAACCTGTGCAGGATCCTGAGAAACCTGTGCAGGATCATGTGAAACCTTTGCAGGATCCTGAGAAACCTTTGCAGGATCCTGGGAAACCTTTACTGTATCCTGAGAAACCTTTGCAGGATCCTGGGAAATCTTTGCTGGATCCTGGGAATCCTTTGCAGGATGCTGAGAAACCTTTGCAGGATGCTGGGAAACCTTTGCAGGATGTTGGGAATCATTTGCTGGATCCCGAGAAACCTTTGCAGGATCCTGGGAAACTTTTGCTGGATCCTGGAAAACTTTTGCAGGATCCTGGGAAAACTTTGCAGGATCCTGAGAAAAGTTTGCAGGATCCTGGGAAACCTGTGCAGGATCCTGAGAAACCTGTGCAGGATCCTGTGAAACCTTTGCAGGATCCTGAGAAACCTTTGCAGGATCCTGTGAAACCTTTGCAGGATCCTGAGAAACCTTTGCAGGATACTGGGAATCCTTTGCTGGATCCTGAGAAAGCTTTTCAGGATCCTGAGAAACTTTTGCAGGATGCTGGGAATCCTTTGCTGGATCCTGAGAAACCTTTGCAGGATCCTAAGAAACCTTTGCAGGATCCTGAGAAACTTTTGCAGGATTCTGAGAAACCTTTTCAGGATGCTGGGAATCCTTTGCTGGATCCTGAGAAAGCTTTGCAGGATCCTGGGAAACTTTTGCAGGATCCTGGGAAACCTTTGCAGGATTCTCTTGAGAAACCTTTGCAGGATCCTGAGAAACGTTTGCAGGATCCTGAGAAACGTTTGCAGGATCCTGGGAAACCTTTGCAGGATCCTGAGAAACCTTTGTAGGATCATGAGAAACGTTTGCAGGATTCTCTTGAGAAACCTTTGCTGGATCCTGAGAAATGTTTGCAGGATCCTGGGAAACTTTTGTAGGATCCTGAGAAACTTTTGCAGGATCCTGAGAAACGTTTGCAGGATCCTGAGAAACGTTTGCAGGATCCTGCAAAATGTTTGCAGGATCTTGAGAAACCTTTGCAGGATCCTGAGAAACGTTTGCAGGATCTTGAGAAACTTTTGCAGGATCCTGGGAAACTTTAGCAGGTTCCGTTTTTTTGAGTTTTTTCCCCCATGTCCCCTTATGGTCTCTGTAGATTGTTACTTGTAGAAATGTTATTAACAAATGACAGATTCATTCAGATGTCATCTATATTCTTTGATGATTTGTATTAATATAAAAATACTGTGAGGCAAATATGTCTGCTCTCATAATCAGGTTTTGACTAACTCATTTTGAAGTGATTTATTTCACAAAGTTCAAACAGAGTGAGATAATATCCTTATCATTAAACACAATACGCACTATTGGACGGACAGGAAATTTAAAGAGACTTTCCCTGGCAACAACCACGCTTTGTGGTTTTATGTCCTGTGCATGCGAACCACATTTCCTCCTTACACCTCTCATCTCATTCATACTTCTCGAGAGAAACAAGGCAGACAGAGGAGGGATGAAAACACACAGATGTCCAAATGATGACAAAATATTCAACGAGGATAAGAGAACCCATATGATATGAGAAGCTTAAAAACATTGTAGAATAATAAGATCGGTGGAGGGAAGTCAAGAGATCAGCAACAAGAAAAGTAAATGACGGGAGGAAAATAAGGGATGGCAGTCTGAGGACAGAGCAAGAAGCAGGAACTGAAAAGTAAGAAAATAAGATGCTCGTCTCAAATATGAGAAAACAGCTAATTGGACCTTTTTTATATTTAGATCATAATTATAAGGAATATTGCAGAGATATAAGGTGTGTGTTTGCTTTGATGTGGCACCAACTTACACTCTGTCATTTCTACCCCTGCTCTATATTCTTTCACTCTGCTTACCACTGCTACCATATTATAACTTGTGTTTTCAACTGTATGCGAATGAGGTGTATTTTGTTTTGCGTGTGGCCATCATCTCAGATCTCACTAGGTGGTAACTGCGCCATTGGTGGGTTGACTGGACATTTCTCTGCATCTATGTGTGAAAGAGAGAAGGGGAAAAAAACTATTTATATTTTATGTTTCCAGCCTTGGGTCACCAGAGAAAGTATGTGATTAACTTTGGTTGTATTTACAGTACATTTATGAGAGCAGACCTTGTCTCTCAATGAAAGATCTAAATTACATTTTTTTCTTCATTTTTACACAAGCCAGATGCAAAAAAGTAAAAAGATGATTTTTTTCTCTACTGGAAAGTGCAAGCTGCCCTCGTCTTAAAAAGGCAGTGCTAGCCGCCGCAGGAATTTGTTATTTCTGTGGATGGTTGTTAGATTTGTGAATATGCACCACTGTGTTCTATAACTAAGAATGAGAGACAAAACCTCAAATTTGTGCTGCCATGAAACTGAGGCTGACTTTCTAGCCACAAGACACACAACCTAAATAAAAATGGCAAAGGGAAACTGTTGGAAAAATTACTGGATATATGAATTTAATTGAGTCAGATTTTTCTCAGTCTGGCCCACAACGTCTCTTTTAATGTTCATATTAAAGAGACAATGTGACTCTATGAAAGTGGGATAATGTAAGCTTTTTTATTGCTGCACAAATAAGTCACATTTTTGACAAATAACTCAAATGTGTAAAATTAGGCAGCATTTTACGTGTTTCTTTTAAACCCTTTTTTTTCCTGATAACATTTGGTGACAGATGGCACAGTGAAACTGCTGCTCAGTAACCACACCAACATGCTGCTGGTTTACCAGGATGTAACTCTGAAGTGGGCAGCCCAGCTCCCCTTTGTGCCTGTAGCTGTTCGACTTGCCAACTTCCCGTGAGTACAATTTTAGTTTTTTGTTTGTTTGTTTATTTTTTTATTTGCTTGTGAATTTTCAGGTAAAACCTCCTGTATTTATGTTGACTCGATTATCAGCTTGTGAAATCCGGTGTGGGATATTTGGCAGGAAATATCATGACAATGTCTTCCAGCTGGCCAATCAGCACCGAGCGAGGAGGGGCCACTTAAAGCCAGTCCTTCGTCTTTCTCCAAACAGCTACAATCAAACTGCAATTTGATACAATTACAACGCAAAACACAAACACATTTGAAAAATGATGTGGTCTCTGATCTTGTGTGTGTGCGTATGTGTGGCTTAGATACAGGAGATAGTGGATGTCTGGGTAGCTGTTTGGTTTAGTTTGAGGCTGTGTTGTTTTTAAGCATTTGATAGTCATCAGGTTGTTCTGTGTGTTTGTGGGCCACGGTGGAGTGTGGGAGAATAACACACACACACACACACCAAACCATGCAAAACAAAGCAGAATGGTCTCATGTAACACAAGTCTCTTTTACATGTGTTCAAACTCAGTCTTGTGTTTTTGTTCTCTTGTGTAAATTACAAAGACAGAATGAAAAGTCACTGCACCTTGGAGCTGATAGTAGTGGTGGTCAGAGAAGTATCACCACACAGTATGTGTGAACAGAAGAGTCAGCAGAGCTAAAAAAAAATTAAACCACACTGGTTTAGTTTTATTTACAGTACATTCATTTCCATCATACTGCTGATTCTGCAACTTTGGCATGCTGTTTGAAAGCACACACTGTGAAACAGCAGCACAGTGTGGACAACTTTTTAATGTCTCTATAACTCAATCTAAAAAAAAGATCTTTATATCATAGAATTAAACATCTAACCTGTTTTCTATTATTAATATTGTTATTATTTATTGATTTATAATTGACAACAACCAACTAAGGTGACCAAAGCACTTTACAGTAAAAATCACATCACAAGAAAAGAAAACAAGAGAAAAAAGCCACTACGCTACATGGTATTAAAACTCTTGTCTAAAGAAATAAGTCTTAAGCTTTGACTGGTCTGGGTCAGAGGTGGAATGAAGGTGTAGAGGAAGTTTTTTCCAGAGTCGGGGTGCTGCCACTGAAAAGTCCCGGTCACCCCAATGCTTTAGCCTTGACCTTGGGACATCCAATAAAAGTTGGTTTGATGACCTCAGGAATCTCCTGTTTTTTTTTACTTAGGCTTAAAAGTTCAGATAAATATGACGGGGCAGTGCCATTAAGAACTTTAAAAACAAACAAAATTTTAAAATCAATTCTAAAATGGACTGGAAGCCAATGCAAAGTAGGGGTGTAAGAAAATATCGATACACTGAAATATCACAATATTTCATTTCCCGATACTGTATCAATATTCTAAAGCCCTGTATCGATTTTTTATTAAGGTTTAAAATGTCAACTTTCCTGCCAACCGTTCATTTTTATGTTGTAGTTCAGCCTTTGACCACTAGTTGGCAGCAGTGAGCCAGCCATTTGGCTACTCTACCTCTTGAGGTCCAGAGAGTAAGAGAGCATTAGCATTGTAAGTAAACATTAGCTTTTCTT